GCTATAAGAATACCAAAAATATATATGTATGTATGTACATATATGTATTTCTACAACTAAGTGTGTGCACACAAATTTTATTGTTTCCCGCCGAATCATCTGTTTCGTAACGTACAAAAAACGCCGCTAATGAACAATACACAGAGTCAATGCCTATAAAAAGAAAATTGTAACATTGTTGTTGCTAAGCGTTTGCTCAAACAGGCACACATACATACAAACATACGAGTGTGTATTATGTGAGTATGCCTTAGCATACAAGCCAAGCTTCTGCCCCCGCTAAAGTCACACTAACCAGTCCATAAGCGAAGACTTCAAAATGACAACGAACTATATTGAGCGATGAGAGAGAGGCGACAAACAGAACAGACGAAAAACTACACAAAATAAAATACAAAAGTTAATAAACAGCACGTTATGTTAATTGTTTCTTTGCTTAAATGAATGACCCTCGAAGGTGATCCGTGATTTTTAGATTAGACATTAGCATGGTGTTTGCTGCTTTTGGTAACCAAAGGTGAATACAGGAGAAATGAGAGAGGAAACAGATATGTTTATATGCTAATTTGTTTCTATGGCAGTTTGCATCAGGCGAACATTCAATTTGCCAGCGCAAATAAACAAATAATGCATATCACTAAATAACACTAACGACCATCTAGCAAGCCGTTCAATCAGTATCAAAGTCCATTTGGCGCTGAGTCGTATGCCAGATCAAGAATAAGGCACGAAGTGTAGGCAAAAAAAAAAAAAAGTTATAATAATAATAAGTGGACGCTAATAAAACGTAAGCAGCACGGGCAGCGTACATTGTGCCTGGGTAGACACTAGGCGATTTCTCGTATGCCCAGCACAATCTCTTCTGGTCACTTCTATCGGGAGATGTCACGCACGCCTCCACAAATTTTGTCTGCCAATATGCCATGGAAGACGGTTTCTTTTTTTATTTTCGTGCTGTTTTCTGTATACAACTAAACATCCTTTGTTCTTAACAGAGTCCATGCAATATAGAAGTTGAACTCATGAATGCTCTTTTTAACACAGCTTTATCTATTAACGGTGGTTTACCTTTTTTGGTTGGTTATTTTAACTTTCACTTCTTGTTCCTTTTTGTTTATTTGTTTTCTACACTTTGTCTTATTTCATTTAGTTCACAAGTGTGGATATTCTTAATGCACCAGAGCAATAATTAATTTAGACAACTTTAGGAGGCATTGCCGTCTTGTCTTCCACACACATTAAATTTTATATATTTATATTTTGCTTTTACTACACACTTTAGACCTTTGCTCTTTTAGTTATTTCACTACCAATATTCTTAAAATTGATTTCCGTTGCTTTGTTGAAACATTGATTTCACAATTTCTTGATTTCCGTTTAACTAAGTTTCTTAAATGTTATTGTTTTCTTTTGTACAATTTTTTCAATAAATGTTGTATTTTCTGCCTTGTAGGCCTTTCTTTCTCTTGTAGTTGCTCCGACAAGTGCGATTTCTAGACTGAAGCTTGCGTCTAGCAACGTCGAGTCATATAATCTGGCAGCCGACGAGCGAAACCGCTGACAGCTAGCCAAGCAAGCACACCACCTTGGCAGGGAGAACGATAATGAAATTAACTCATGCATATATAACTACTTATCTGCCATGTGAGAGTGTTTTTGAGAACGCTTAAGTTGGGGAAGCTTTGTTTCTGCGGGGTGGCTTGTTTCGGGGGGGCGAACAAATAGCTGTAAAAAACGAAAGACACACAACTTGGTAGGGAGTCAGCGGAAATGTAAACCATCGCAATATTTAGTGCAAAAAAAAAAAACTTTAAGAGTGCAGTTTCCAAAGCTTTTGCTATTGAGCAGCTCATGCTCTGAGAACCGACCGATCACGTACGCTAAACGCTCAGTACATTTCAAAGAGTTTTGTAAAATAATGTTCTCTTATTTTAGGTTCCACAATTATTTTATTTCCTACTTTTTGTTGCCACAGTGAAATACATAATAGGGAATAATAAAAACAAAAATAATGTGGGATGATTCTCTGACACCTACGACTACGTCAACAAGCATGTAAAGCTTTCTAATAAGATAAGGGAAGGCAATGAATAGAAATATGGAAAAAAAATTTGTTATTCCCCTTTTTAGTAATTATATAACGAATATAAATCGGCTAATCGTACAAAGTGGCATATCATATAGATCCAAAAAGAACCAATTCTCTGTTGGAGTGCGGAAGAAATTTTTTTTTCCATAGGCTGTGGGAGCTGTAAAGAAGGACTTCTTTAAATAGAATCGTTCAATGGAATCAAAGAACGCTTGGAGGGTGTTTATTGATGAGTCTTCCTCTGGTGGTTGCTTGTTAGTTTTTAATAAGCCAAGCTCAGGCGTTCCGAAAACGGCTATCACGGAGGATAACGAGACAAAAGTAAGCGATCTCGCACTTTTAGATCATCTCTTGAAAGTGCGCTTAGACAATGAGTACCTTAAAAGACACAGATGAAGTGGTCTCAGGGTTGCAATTGTTTTCCCGTACACTCGGGCGGCATGGTCGATTTCCATGCAAATTATGCCCGTGCTTCATGTTATGAATTTGTGTATTCTGAGACCACGAGGGAGTTCCTGTATGTTTTCGGTACTCTCGGCGAAACATGGACCACTGATATAGACAAGACAGTCGAAACAGTGGGCTTCGCTGGGCCAACTACTTCGACTGTCTAGTGACATTTCATCGATTGAAGGGGGAGATTTTGACAGAACATTTGGGCTTACAAAAGGTGTGTGCACGGTTTGTTCCGCACAAATTGACTGGCGACCAAAAATTGCTCAGAAACCAACATTCGAAGGACATCATTAAAGAGGTCCAAAAGGACAAAAGCTTCCTTTACAATTCTGTGACTGGTTGCGAAACGTGAAGTTTAAAATATGATCCCGAAACGAAACGCCAGAGTGCTGAATAGAAGGCACCGGACGAGCCGAAACACAAAAAATCTCGCTGGGAGAAGTCAAAAGTGAAGACAATGCTGATTCGTTTTTCTAATTCCAAGGATATTGCCCACAATGAATTTGTTCTTTGTTGGTATTCTACCTTGGAGCTTTGAAGCGTTTGGTGCGCCGTATTCGACGTTTCGGCCCGAATATCGCGAAGATGAAAGTTGGCAGTTGTTGCACGATAATGCGCCGTCTCATCGATCGACGCTTGTGACCGATTATTTGACCAAAAATCACATTTTAACCAATGTATTCATCTGATATGGCACTGTGCGACTTCTTCCTTTTCGGAAAAATGCATTTGGCCATGAAAGGATAGCGTTATGCAGACGTAGAGGCAATTCAAAAGGCTTGCACCGGCATACTGGCGGCCATACTAGCCAACGAGCTAAAACACTCGTTTGACATGCGTTCGGACCGTGCAAAAAGCTGTATTGAAGCAGAAGGAGACTATTTTGAATAAAATAAATTGATTTTGCCGAAGAAAACATTTGTTTCTTTTTTTCGTTTTTTTTACTATGGAAAGCACCTTGTAGATATTCTACATAATAGTTCTCGAACATGAATGGTTAACCTTGTATGTATTAATTTATTAACTTTTGTCTACCGCCATCAGGCTTTGCAAAAGAATTTCTCTGCAGTAAAAATGTGTCTTCTAAATGAAAAAAGTACATATTTGTTTCATTCATCGCATAAATTAGTCACGCGAAAACATTGCACATTTGTGAGCATCAATGAACTGAACTTGGTGAGGAAATGCCCGGCCATGCCAACGCCTACGAATGAAATTTTGCGGAAAATTTGGATAGAAGCCAAAAAAACAAGGCAATTGCTGTCTCTAGGCAAGTGAGAGAAAAACAAAATTTTGAAAATTAAGAAAAAATTAATATTTAGTATGTGGGTTTAAAGTGCGCTTAGCACGTGGCATACGAAAGAAAGGAAAAACAGAAAGAAAAAAAAAACAGAAACTTACCAGATAAATATCAACAAATTTGCAAATAAATTTGTGCGAAAATAAAAAGATTTAGCCAAATGCATTAATATATGTAAATATTGCTTTTGTTGTTTTATTTGTATTTTTACACACTCCGTTTAAACAGTTTTTCGCTGCTACGGCAATTCTTTTTGTAAATATGCGCTTTTATAAACTACATACATATAATATATTAATTAGCTGGTATATTTAAATGAAAACATAATATAATAAATACATATATATATGTGTATGTACATATGTAAATATATATATATATGTAAATATACAAAAATTGGCAAAAACAGCTTACGTACAAATTGATTGTTTTAATTCTCCTTTCAAATACATATTTTATTTATCGTTAATATTAGGAAAATATCAATAATAGCATAGGTTGGTATAACAAACAAAAAGCGCTTTTATTATACATACATACTTTAAAATAAATACATTGATATGCCACCCAACTTTCAAAATAGTGAAAAATACCGTAATTTTCATTTAAAACAATACTCTTTCAATTTGCATATTTCTTCAACATGACATTTACATCGTATTACAGCATTACTCTCTCGCTCTCTTTCCGTTTTCCTGTTTACTCTCTTCAACGTCACCAATTCGTTTCGTCTACTGAGAGTCCTTTAGTTTATAATTATTTTAAAATTGTAGGCACACTTTCAGTTCTTCGCCGTTTTCCGACGTCTGGCATCCGTTACAGCACCCCACAGTTCGATAATGAAATCATCGGTAAAGCCGAAAGACTCCAAATCGGAATTGTCGATAGCCTCCGCAAAGTCCATTGAATTGGACTTGTTCGCGCCTAAATCCCAAATTTGTGTCGCCAATTCGGTGTCATTTATGCCCATAAACGATTCTAACAAATTATTGATCGCCTCAATGCCCGATTGCGTTGACTCGTCGAATTTGTCCTCGATCTCTACATTTCCGTTCGCCTTAAAACGTAATGTCTCCTTGCCACTGCCATAGCCACGTCCAGAGGGCGCGCGCGATTGTGTGCGCGGACCGATACCCTGGAAGCCGCTCTTCATCGGTTCCACCAGTCGCAACGTGAATGTGGTGCCGGTAGGTATATCCTTAAGCAGACGCGCAACTTCGTAATGTCGCTTACCAACCATAGTAATATCATTCAACTTCTCAATATGATCGCCGACGCTAATGTGTTCGATGCGATCGATGACCGAACCCTCTTTAATGCGCTTAATGAATGCATAACCTGCTCCATTATCGGTTATGGTTAAACCGAGCGCATCCTCTGATTTTACGATCTCAATCTCTTTCGGTCGCCCTTTTCGATGCGCGAATATGAAATCATCCAGTCCGATTTGACCGCCGAGCAGTTTTGTCATGTCCACTTTGTGTGAATTCAAAGTGCAGAAAAGTATCTCCTCGACGGGGATGTCGTAGCATTCGGCAATCTTTTTATAGAGCTCCCGTACACTCGCAAAGCCGGTTATCAAACCGGTTGGACTGCCGTGCGCCAGTTGGCAATGGAATATTAGTTGCGGTTTGGGAATGTATGAATCGTTGCGGTTATTCGCGTTGCTGCTGCCATTCATAGTGGTCGCTTTACCGTTGGCCGTTGTGTTATTGTTGTCGTTGTATGATGTGTTGCCCCCCGTGGCAGTGGTAGCGGCATTTGTAGATAGATCGGAATCTGCTCTACTAAATTTGGGACCCTTTTTTGAAAATAGCGGCATAGCGAAATTTTTCCGAAAACGTTGCTCTCAGCTTACTCTCCCTCTTCCTCTCTTATCTTATTCTGTCACGACCGTCTTTTGTATCTGTTTGTGGAGAGAATTTACATATGATTTAACAAAAATTTTGCTCCATAATTTACTGCTAGTGTTAGGTTGATTTGGTTAATAGCATCACCTGCGTTGCGTATGTGTCTTTTATATTAGGACTTAGTGAGTTCCTTTGTTAGTTAAATATTTGATATTTCACTTGGTCATGTTAAAAGAGTGGTTCGCACGTATGGAGAATACAAATTTTATTAGATCTTCGAATAAGCAATAACCATAAATTATTAGTTTGCGAAATGTTTACCTAAACTTCTGTCAAAGAGCACGGTGCGCCTGATATTTATTTATCCAATAAAATGAAGGTTTACGAGTTAAAAGTTGCCATGTTCGGTTGGCTGACATACTACTTCTGGAATCAAATTGTATTTTTAATTCAGCAAATACACATGACCACCTCCGACGACACCGTTTTGACTCAACTAAAAAAAAAAAGCTGAATCGAAGAAGGCTCTGATGGTCATAAGTGTATTGCAGCAGAAGGGGATTACTTTGATGGAGATGAAATGAACAAACACTTGACCTAGTAACGATCTTATCCTTATATTATCTTTTAATATTAATAATATTCAATGAACTGGGGTAGTCGTTTAAAAAATCGTTTACAGCAAAGAAATAAACTTTAAAAATAAACTCTAAAAGCAATTATTATGGCACACAGGCACATATGGCACTTTTGATCGATCAGGGTGTCAGCCATCTCTTTAGATACTATAGTAGTCAGATATGAAAATTATGTTCGGAGATTCTAGCGCTTCCTTAGGTAATACCATAATTGAGACCTAACTTCTTTAAGATATTTTGTCAAATAAAACATTTCTCTACCAGCCATATGATATAGTGATCAGACTTTAGATAAAAATATTGCGAGTATTATTTGTGAAGATATCCGGTACAATATAAAGTTGTAGATAAAAGTATTTTGATTGATCAGTTTGAATGGCAACTATATGTTATAGTTGCCAAACTTCATATTCTCTGTGCAGGGCATACAAAGTTTCGGGTGTGTTCTATTGTACCTGGCAATAAACGAATCACACTTTGATTCTGCCGTCTGGCAAATTCCTTTTAAAACGGATTTTTTGTTGTAGTTTCTAGTTATTACTATTGTGCTTTAATGGATTGGCTCGTGGTGATTTGTGGGTCTGATAAGAATTGTATTTTATCTCCGATCATCGCAAACAAAGGCATGTAAGTTTGACGTTCTGCCTATTGTTAGAGTGCTGTCATGAAAGTTTTTATTTTTTTCAAGCAAAGCGAATAATACTTAACTCATAATTGAAATTTATTTAGAATAATTTATATTTTAATAGAAAAAAAGGTTATTTCAAAGATATTTCGGTCCTTGTAGTTTCATTTAGGGGTTTTAGAGTAGATTAATCATAAGTACATTAGATTTAATCAGTGTGCAGAAGCCTTCTTTTATGCCGGCAAAGAAAATTGAATAATTGTGCTATACATATTTAAGATATTTCTATTAAACTATTTGACTTTTAGAATTATTCGGAATATTTTCTGAACACAAAATTAATAAAGTTACAACCATAACATCACCACTTTCTAATTTTTTTTTTTTTAACTTTTTACGAATACCGAACGTTATAGTTATGATTTTCATACGAATTGCTGTGAGCTTGTCAATGGTCCGAAGATTACTGACATACACTTTGCTAAAATTAAATTGGTCTGCTCTTCTGGAGATGTGATGAGATTAGTCATAGTCACCTTCTTTCTCAATATTTTCGACAATATACGATTATTTGAGTTAAAACATTGTTTTTTGGTGCTAAGTGATTCAGAGCTAAAATTGTACTGTTTCCAAAACACGTTTGAACCACTCAATCTGTTTGGAATTTTTAAAGTTAATCCAAGTTTACAACCGATACAAAATATGGCGCAACTTGTAGGTATTTTCTCAGGTACACTAACTTCTTATGATCCTACTGATTCATGCCGTATTTAATAATTAAATTTGTTCAAAGTTCTCTCCAGTAGTCCAAACCACTCTTTTATGCTAGCCACTAATTATAAAACTACCCAAAACCAAATATTTTAGTTAAAAATAACTTAAATCACTTTTTATTAGTTAAGACCATAACCATAGTAAATGATATTGGTAGGTATGCATGTATATGTATATATACAAATGTTGTGACATATGTTCAGTCATGATTAGTTTCCGCATAAATGCACTTTTAATTTTTTTTTTATTTAATTTTTTCACAACTACGTGTGCGTTAATATGTTAATAAGTGAGGTTAAATCCAAACTCAGTAGCTACATATGATTCATTGTAACAAATGCAAGCGTAAATTTTGGTTTTAAATGCCATACAAACACTATAAATTCTTTGAGTTTTTAATAATGAGAAATTGCTTATTTAATTTGAACACGCACTGATCACACTTTCTCCTTTATTTAATTTAGGTATTAACTATTATTAAATTAATTAATGAACACGTTAGAGGACAAATATACGTACGGCTTGCTAAAAACGGCACTTCTGCCATTCAGAGACTACAGAAAATGCTCCGTCGCTTTGTCAGCATTTCATGGACATCTTATCTAGAAATGCGTGAAAAGGCGATAAGATTTCTTTTCTTCACAATACGAAACAATGTGATAGATAAGCGGCAAGACATGCAGCGCACTCACGCCTTTGCAGCGGACGGGAGTGTACATTGGAGTACGGTATATAGTATACTCGTATGTAGTACTACACACATATTTTATAAGATACTAAAGACAGCAAAAATGGTAGCATACATATTTTGCTAGTAGTAGCATTGCTTGATGGTAACCCCGAAATTTGAGAGAGGCAAATGAAAGAGAGTGCACTTGAAAGAGCGCTATTACAATAACAGAAACGATAATGATACTATCATTGTATTTTCCAGTTTAGGTGTACTTTAGATCTTAAGTAGGAAGTAAATATGCTCGAAAGTAAGTAAAGTGACTTTTACAAAATTACTGCGGTTGGGCCGAAATTAACCAGCTATCTGATTTAAAAGTGTCTGCATCGGCAAGTTATAGTCGATTAATAATATTTTTTTTTAACATGGATCCATATTATTACATTTTTTACGAAAAAAGTAATAAACTTTAAATACATATATACGTATTTAACGTGTGAACGGGTTCAACTTTATGACGAAAATCGCTGCATGGACTCTTGAAAAGTTCAAAGAAGATCCGACGTTTTCGAGCCAAATATTTATCAGCAAAGTGGTCCATTATTTCGGCTCAATGGGAATGCAAACAAGCAAAATTAGAATATTTGGGACGAAGATTAACCTAAAGAAATTCAAAAGCTGCCATTTCATCGAGGGTGAGGTGGTTTTTTGGAAGGTGAAATCATCGGTGCATATTTTTTTAAAAATGATGACGGTGCCGGTGAATGAACGTAACCGTCAATGGCGTCCGTTATCGCGCCATGATAACCGACTATTTAATGTATGAAATTGAAACACGTTATCTAGGCGACATTTGGTTTCAACAAGACGGCGCTACTTCCCTCACACCGCATCAATCAATGAATTTATTGAGAGAACACTTCTGTGAGCAGATAATTTCTCCTTTTGGTCCGGTCGATTGGCCACCAAGATCTAGTGATATCATACCGTTAGACTTTTTCCTAAGGGGAAAAATCCCGCTTCGATTCAGGCCTTGGTAGAACACATCACGCGCGTCATTCGCCAGTTATCAGTAGAAATGGTCAAACGAGTCATCGAAAATTGGACTCAACGGTTGGACCATCTGAGACGTAGCAGCGGCCAACAGTTGAAAGAGATAATCTTCAAAAAAAAAAAAAATACCAAAAATATTCTTTCGAGTGATCATAAACATTTAACACTAAATTTAGAGCTTCTGTGTTTTTTCTTTAAAAAGTAGAGAATTACTTGATCGAATCTCCGTATTCGATGTTTCTGGTTGAAACACAAAATGTTTCTCAATTAGGTTTAGGGAGTTACATATGTATGTATGCTGATGAGACAGCACAGAACTAATTTTTGGACAAAGAGAAAACAGAGGTCTTTCAAAAGATACAAAATCATGTTTATGTGTCGTTCGAAACAATTTTAGGCCGTGTCCATTTTTTTAATAGGTCATATGATTGCCTGTAATCATTACGGTATAGATATGTTTTGTTTATCACAACAAAGTGCAATTTTGTTGAGATTATAAGTTTTGGCAACAAAAAAATTGCTAATTGTTGGTTCTAAGAACAAATCTTCTGTATCATTAAAAATGTATACACTGAAGTAGTTTAGGAGCTTAATGAACACGAAATTCGTCTCAGTGCTGAGAGAAGAATTCAATATTTGCATAACCCACTAAATTACATAACGCAGATATTCAGCAATTTCTCACTATTTTTGTTCACATTTTTGCAGAACACTTTTTTAGAATAAATAATACCTTATTTAAGAAATGCATGCACACGCAAATAAATCAACTTCTGTTATCCTTGAGCTGCTCGTCACAAAACCTTCTAAATATTTATGTGAACACTTCAATTAATTTTTCTTTTCTTATTATATTTTTAAAACACAAGAAATTTTAATTGTCATACAATAATAAAAAATTAACAACTAACTTGACAGTTTTTTATTTTTCTCATTTGCTTTTACATACAAATTGATTAATTGCGCATTGTTTGACAACAAACTATATGTAGAGTTTCTATAGCAGTTATAGCAAATTATGACAGAAACGGTAAGTTGGGAAATTTGTGTTGTCATTATTTTGATTACTCATACCAGTACTAGCTTGATAAAATATGAAATTACGATTTCTTTATTGATAAGGGATTGTATAAAAACAAAACATTCATGAATATTATTTCATTATTATTATAAAATTGCAACAGTGAGATAAACGAACCAAAAAAATATGTAAAGAATAATTGAGAAAAACATTTCGCAAACTATATTACACGATTGCATTTGTAAACGTTTCAAATGACGTAGCGAGGATAAGCC